CACAGAATTAAAGTCACCATGTTCGAAGATTCACCCAAATTCGGTTACACTTTGTTTATCCAGTCGTTGAGTCGACTGCTAGTTTCCCACTCATTAGATATGTGGGGCAAAGATATCGAGAGAGAAATAGGCTTTTCTTTCGCTCTTTTCCATTTTATTGTGCAACCTATCAAAATCGAACTCGTAGTCGAAGTTTGGCTGTTGCCATTGGGGCACATCCCGAGGAAGATGACCCATAGAAATGCTAAAATATAGAAGTTTCAGCATTATAAGTTCTCATGCTGTCCGAGAAGGGCCCATTTCATGTTTATTTGTCGACTAGTTTTTCAGATTGCCTCATTTTGTGGTCCAATAAACTCTTTCTGTTGCAGACCCAGGGATGGGAAACCCATAACCGGTCTGAAAGCAGTTGGAGCCATGCCAATTGATCTAGACTTCAGTCCATCTTTGCAGCGTTGCTGGGCTAGAGTCAGAACGACCGGATGGCCAATCACTTGATACACTTCCGTTGTGCAGTTACCACATGAGACTGGTGAGCTGGCAACAAGCATTCAACTGTATCAAGGGCACCATAAAAAACGGTCATGAGGACACTTTTCGCCCGTTTCCAAGCCTTCTTGCTCCTTTTCACTGCCTCTATGGCCTCCTTTCCCAAGTCAGCCGGCAACTGGTGAACGCCAGCACTTCAGACAAACACTCAGTCTATTGTTTATGCGGGGACCTCAGTCCAACAGACGTGCATTTTGTTGATACTCGTGCAGTTCGCAGTGCGGATGTCGAAATATCCGTTCGTCTGTCTGTCTGTATTGCTGTTCTTCTGTCCTTCTATCATTTTGTCCGTCTATCCACATGTTCCACTGTCCACTTGTCCATTTATTCATCTGTACGCCTGTTCGTCGGTCCGTGTATCCATCCATTTGTCAATCTGTCTGTCTGTCTGTCCTTATGTCTACCTGTTCTATGATCCGGTTGACATTTGTCCGACTGATCATCTATCCGTCTTCTCGTCTTCTCGGACAGTTCAACTGTCCGTCTGCTCGTATGTTAGTCAATCTGTCTGTTTGTCCACTTGTCCATTTATTCATCTGTACGCCTGTTCGTCGGTCAGTGTATCCATCCATTTGTCAATCTGTCTGTCTGTCTGTCCTTATGTCTACCTGTTCTATGATCCGGTTGACATTTGTCCGACTGATCATCTATCCGTCTTCTCGTCTTCTCGGACAGTTCAACTGTCCGTCTGCTCGTATGTTAGTCAATCTGTCTGTTTGTCCACTTGTCCATTTATTCATCTGTACGCCTGTTCGTCGGTCAGTGTATCCATCCATTTGTCAATCTGTCTGTCTGTCTGTCCTTATGTCTACCTGTTCTATGATCTGGTTGACATTTGTTCGACTGATCATCTATCCGTCTTCTCGTCTTCTCGGACAGTTCACCTGTCCGTCTGCTCGTATGTTAGTCAATCTGTCTGTTTGTCCACTTGTCCATTTATTCATCTGTACGCCT